GTCACGCTTGATACGTACGAGGATTGATCTAGTACATCTGATGCATCTCGTCTTAATGTGCATCCAAGAATGAAAATATTTTCTTACGTTTCTCACATTAATTATTCTTAATCGCCGGAACGAACCCTATATTATATATATATATATATATGTATGTATGTATAGATATATATATATATATATATATATGTATGTATGTATGTATAGATATATGTATGTATGTATGTATGTATGTATAAACCGGAGAAAATTTACGACGGCCGTATTCCGCCGGAAAAAAAGAAAATCCGCCGGAAAATCAATCACTGGCGCCTCTGTTTCCGCGGCTCTATCCGCCAAAATTACTTTTTTCCGATGGATAGAGGCGCCGGAAATGTGGACGTGTTTGGTAGTGACATAGCGGTTACAAAACATTAATATACGCATGGGCAGTTACAAAACATCCACATCTTTGTGATTTTTTTTCAATAATACACTTTGTTCGTATATGTTCATCTTAGATGGTAACGTATTATATTATGAGTTATTACAAAATCATCATCATAAATGTCATCCATTGATTTATAAAATGAATGGTTATGATAAGTTCATAAAGTTAACACCATAAATTAAGTTAACAAAATAACCTACCCAATGGGGTATATGATGTCTCTAAATTTGGCATAACATATGCATGAGATGCAATAAACAAAAAGAATTTAGAGTCTAACTCCAATGGCATATGAACAATCGAAGAGGCATATATTCACCCTTGTCTTCCTCAAATCCAAAATTATCTCGACTTGAACCTTCTCGACAATCAATTATGTGTTTGTTATTACGGGAATTTTTTTCTTTTTTCATTTGATTTACAGTTAAAATTGAAGTAAGTCGTTATGATTCGACCAGAAGCTGTATAATTTATCGGCTCCGAAACAGAGATTCAAAGATTAGTTAGCTTCTTTTTATATTTTTTGTGCTTCTTAATGACCAAAAAACTGGATCTGCGGAAAATCAATCAGAGGCACGTTTACTTATGTTTTCTGGCCAAATAAAGTCAATTTTATTTTGTTTTGTTAAGGACTCAACAGATTCTCTTCTTTATTTGTCTTATTTGAGGGAGAAGGTCCTGTTGAGTTCTTAATATCACAGTATAAATTAATCATAAAATTATTATTTTTTGTAATCTTAAGAATATTTATATAATATCTTATTGATAATACAATTATTTTTCTAATTGGTAAGAACCGAATAAAATATTTGAAGATTTGGATTCCCGAGACTTGATTATGATTGCAGTCACGTCAATCTCCACTTCAATGGCCACCACTACAACCGACCGCTCAACAAGGGTTAAGATGTGAATACTTATTGACAATTTGGAATTATATGCGAGTATTGACACATGATAAAACCGACCTTTCCTTTCTTTTTCAACATTATTAGACTTATAACGACAAGTCATACAACATGACAACCACATCCAACACCCTTCTACTTGTCCTATTAAGTGTGTGGTCATGCAGTTGGGCGCGTTGACATCTTAAAACCGAAAATATTTTACAAAAAACAACTAATTTTTTTATCTGTATCTTCATGTAATATGATGTCCGTACACAAAATTAATTCTAAAAAAACCATAAACGAATCGATCATATTGTTTTAACTATCAGGTAATTATTTATATAGTTTCATGTTCTATAAACCTTCACTTATTTTTGAGTAAGTCATAAGTTAACTTAGGGGCCGTTTACTAAACGCTTGTCTGGTAAGTGTTTATTGGGTAATTTTCCTTATCTGATGAACATGGAAAGGGTCAAAAACTTTACCCGGTAAGAACAATGATAAAGATGGAGAGTCTCACTCGGTAAGTGAGGGTGACGACTCTTACCCGGGTAAGTGCTTACCGGGTAAATTGTTGCATATGATATCATTTTAATGTACTATAATCTTACCTGGTAAAATAAATTATAGTGTTGACTCTTAAAGTAGGAGCTTACTGGGTAAGCATCTAGGTAAACGGCTCCTTATACGATAAGTTATTTTTTAAAATTAGTTCATATCTCTTCATAAAGATTTTTCCATTTTCCCCTCAATTATGCCCCTTAAATACAAATGACGAAAAACCTTTGGGATAAGTTTGTCATTTTACATTGTTATCTAGCTTTTCTTAAACACATACTCATGTACACTCTTTCCACTTTGGTAAGATTTGAACCCTCGACCTCTTGGGAGGTTGGATTCTATCGGCAACCCCAAATATCGTTAGACAATGAACCTTTGATATTTAACTTGTCAACTATTTTTTATCAAATGTAACTAGTTTATCGATAAATGCACTAATTTACCAGCTACTTTGCCAAATATAATTTTAATATTACCAATACCAATATATAGAGGAAACGGTTCAAATGAGAAGACTTTCATTTTACGAAAACACTTTTTTTACTATGCTTAATCCCATGCGGGACCATAGTCCAACACATGTGTTACTATTAGAGACGTGGGCAACTTCTGGTGCGACCTAGGTCACGGACCAAGTTGCCCACATCTCTAATAGTAACACATCTGTTGGACTATGCGACCTAGGTCATGGGCCAAGTTGCCTACAGACTACCCTACCACTTCCCCCACGGGTATTATCATGTGATAATGGTGTCTCAGTTTTTCATAGAATAACGGTGTTCTCGCTTGAACTTTCACATAGGCTCGCTTATACATCTTTAATGAATCTTTTTGGGTTTATCGGTGATTCACGGGTTAAATGTAAAATTTTATTCCTATAATTTACAAAAATTAACAATACTATCCCTAGAAAAGAATTTTTAACGAAAAAAACCTCAACCTTAACTTTTAACTTTATAACGGATCGATTCCCTGTTAGTAACGGATAGTTTTACCTATTAACCATTCCCCTCTCTGCAATTTCATTTCGATAGAGGATTTGACATCCCCAACCAATAAACACTTGGTTTATATGACATAAAATGTTTTAATAAATTTCCTAACGAAACTTTATTTTATTCGACCCACAATAAATATCATCTCTAAATGTGTAACAATAAATTTATATGATGTTTTTGGGCGTTTAATAATTTTTTAAGACATTTCATATAAGCTATTTTACAGTGCATTTTTGAAATTTGTCTTATAAACACGTATTTTATGGGACATTTATTTTTATAAAACCTCTTTCAAATAATGTTATGTAAAAAATTAATAACCTTCATTTTAAAAATGTACTAAAAACTGATAAGATGTGTAAAATCGTCATATTAACTTATTGTAACACTTTTTGATATGATGTTTGACTTCTTGCAAACCTAATTTTAATTAGTATTTATTTTTTATAATCAATTTACTAATTATTCTAGTAATGTAAATTCCACATAAAACTAAACGTTTTATAGTATAAATATTATTATGATTGGAAGGGTACTCGCACAATGCAGCGAGATGCATCTCGACTTTAATGTTTTGTTTTATTCTTTCTCTCTGTCGATATAATACGGTTTTATGTAGTTTTGAGAAAGCGATGATATTTTTATTTTTAAATAAAATATAAATTTGAATAAATCAATAAAATTTGGAAAAAAAAATATCGGTATTAGTATCAAATAAGCTATTTAAAAAAAGTTCTCTTTTCTATAATTTCTTTAATTCAATTTTTATATTATAATTAATTTAGGCGTAATAATGAAGTAATTTATGATGGTTTAATAATATATATTTTTTTATAAAAATAATAGTTAAGTATTTTATTAAAACTCAATGATTATCCTAATTATATTTTAGACTCAAAACGATATATTTATCATGTATTTGATTATGTTTATTTATAGTTAGTTACATAAATTCAAAAATAACGTAAACCACAAGGGTGGTGTCTGATTGATTTGAACTTGGCTCCAAATGTCAAAAGTACCAGGAGGTCTCAGGTTCAAATCCAGGGAGGAATAAAAATCCCCTTGTGGCCACGGAGATTCAAATGCAGTGACTCCAGACTATGTGCAAAGCAGGTAGTCGCACTGAGATTAGTCGGCTCGCATAACGGGTTGGATATCCAGGTTAATAAAAAAATAACGTCTTAATAAATTGTATTATACACAATTTACTTGTAGTTTAAAATTTGAAGTAATATATATCAATAAACAATACATTATATACAAAAAATGGTTTACAAAAGTTTTGGTTATCAAATTTTTCATAATATAGTATAGATGTTGTAAACGTGGATATAGAAAATATCATGGAAACACAAAATTATCATGGATCTTTGGCATAAAGATACAAATATAATGGAGAAGATTTTTAAAACTCAAGTATATAATCAAAAATAGTTTATCTAAATATTTTTCTTTATGTTCTTATTTAATTATTCTTATAATGAAAAATAGTTTATCTAACCATCCATTTTCATAAATATCCCAAATTGATTGGATTACATTGATTATATAAATGGACATGTTTGTATTTAAAATATATCATATATATATATATATATATATATATATATATAGGTAGGTTATAATACAACCATTTACATTTGTACAACTAATACAATCCAATCTCAACCGTACATTTAATTTGATGAATATGAGATTTCATAGAAATTTTGATTGTTTCTTAATATAAAATATGAATCATAATTAATAAACCATATTCATTTTTTATAAATATTCAAATTATAATAAATAAACTCTCATTATTTCTATAAATATCTCAATTAATTTGGTTGCATCGAATAAATAGATATATATATATATATATATATATATATTATAAATTATAATAATTGGAGAATAGTCGTGGCATATCCTAAACTACAGAGTTCCACCGCCAAAAAAAGATATTCTCATCAACATTGATGCCGCCATTGCTTAAATATCATCTTATTTATTTACTCAAACATTTTTATATTAAATTAAATTATTATAACTGCAAACTTAAATTAAATTTGAAAAATAATTAGAATATGTTACCTTTAATTAAATTAATATAAAAACCCATAATTTGTTTAAAACAATAATCAAGCAACATAATTAATATATATATATATATGTATTATATCCTTAAGTTACCTTGAAGATGTTAATTAAGGAAGGTAATTAAGAAGATGATGATCATCATCATCATTCCACTGATTTTGACTCCAGTAAGATTGATCAAACAATCCTTCATTCTCTTCCCAATCCCTCTGCATCTCGTTCTCTGTTTTCTGAATGCCTTGAGGTAATTCATCCGTCCATGAGCTCATTAAGCTTCCAAATGTCACAATCTCCGATGATTGCTTTAAAATTGGAGGATCGGCGACATTGAGGAATCGTGTGGACGATTCGTTAAAATTAAGCAACATCGGCGGTGTTGAGTTTGTTGAATTACTCCCTGACACCTCCGCCGTGGTCATAGGCGTGGCGGTTGCCGTCGTGTTGGCTGTACGGCTACAGCTGCCACTGCTAGAGTTTTCCGAATTCGAAGACTTGTGCTCTAGATCTGAGGGATCTGCGGCAACGGCAGAGGAAGGGACACTTGTCTTGGATTTCGGTTTGCCGGATCGCTTGGCTTTACGGATACCGCCACCTACCGGAACGTTGCGGAGGACACCGCCATTGGTCCAGTAGCGTCGGCAGCTTTTGCAGAAGTGGCGTGGCTGAGAGAGGTTGTAGTTGTTGTAATAACAGAATTTTGTGTTTGAAGAATCGCAACGAGGACATTTCAAATCCTGGTGGTGGTGCGGCCTCAACCGTCTGTCTCCACCTCCGGCGGCGAACAACCTCCCTCCTCCGCCGCTGCTTTCAATGGAATGTATATCCTGCATTTCTTCGATTCGTGTTTAATTTCTCTGTGTGTGTCAAAAAGGTCTGATTTTAAGTGCTTCTGAGCTTAGATGTCTATTTACGAACTAAACCCTAATATAGCACAAGTGGAGAATGACGGAGACCGACCCCACTGCCGCTTAGTGTAAATTACAAAAGTAGCCTTGTTTCATCTACATCTTTGTAATATTGAAGGGGACAATCTGTTATAAAATGTAACCCAACTTAACCTACCTAATTAAATTAAGTTGTCTACGAGTTGAGTGGACGTCTTTTAGAGAAATTTTTTAGGATATTCACCAAAATAACCAAAATATACTTGATATATTAACGAAATAATTTATTGAGAAATTTATAAAAATAATCGTTTTACACAACTTTTTACTACAAAATAACCACATTTTAGAGGTTTTGCCGGACGATCCCCTTAAAAAAGTAACAAAAAAAAACTACATGGATTACCTTTAGGAATATTTGTTATTGTGAAAATAACTACATCGATCTCCCCCAAGGCGAGGGTTGACCATGGGGGGTGATCCTCTACAAATGAAAAAAAATGAAAAAATGAAAAAAAATAAAAAAATGAATCACCCCAGAGGACGAATGGATGACATGGATCGCACCCAAGGGGGTAGATTCACCAAAATTGTGGGAAATAGTGTTTAGTTTCATATAGATGATGCTGTGAGTAACGGCGTTTTTCGGAGGATCCGTACGTTCCGTGGAGGGCAAATCAGAGAAGTTCCGATGGAGGCACACGTGTACGGACAAGATGGTGCAGGCATTCAGCCCATGGATGAGATTTTGTTGGGTTGTCGGCTGACAGTTTGCAGCAGTCTTCGACTTCGGTTCATATGTTGCCACGTCGCCAGATTTTGTTAATTGGTGACATTGTCGTTAATAAAATATGCTTTTAATTGTGTTCCGATTTAAGTACACTTCTCCTTTCTGTAAGCTAATTATTTTTTTCTTCTATTTTTTACACTTCTCATTTTATTTTAATTTTTAAAAATTAATTAAATAGAGCACCTATAATAAATTTTATTTAAAATAGACAATAAAAATCAATTTTTTTTTATAAAAAGGTAATAATCAAATCTAAAAGAATTTCTATTTTTGAGATTTCCTCGTTTATTGTATTATTAAAATATTTTATAATTTATTATTTAAAGAACTTATGTAAAATAATAATAAATTCAATTTTTTTTTATTAATCTGGATATCTAATTCGTTACGCAAACCGACTAATCTTAAAGCGATCACCTGTCTTACGGTAAGGACCATGAATCTTACTTAGTTTAAGTGAAGGCAAGGAATGAGAGTTTTACTCGATAAGTGAGAGCGACGAGCCTTACTATAGTTAGCATTTACCAGATGAGTATGACAAGGACCAAAAATCTTAACCGGTAAAAGCGAAGGCAATGAACGAGAGTTTTACCCGGTAAGTGAGGTTGACGAGTCTTACCACGGTTAGTGCCTACCGAGCTAAATTGTCGTATACGATACCATTTTGGTGGATTAAAATCTCACACGGTAAATAAGTGATAGTGTTAAATTTTATCGATAAACGTTTATCCAAATAAGCGTTTGGTAAATGACAACTAAATCTTGGTTTTTGAACAGAGGCTCCAAAACTTTGAGACAGATTGACATGTGTTTAGGGTTTGGATTTATATAGCGTAACATGTGAACCCAACTCAATAAAGACATATCTAAAAAAAATTCAAAATCAAAAATGACTATCTAGATTTTGGAATGATTAAGTCCTTAGACATTCGTTTCAAATAAACAACCCATCGAACTTTAAAAATTGGTTATCTACATCTTTAAAAAAAAAACTACAAGTAAATGGCTAGGAGGAGTTTAAAGCGAAAAAATAAAAACTTAAATCAATATTATTGTTTTCAAACTCTAAGTCATTCAAACCTCTCGCACCAAACGCATGCTCCATATCACCATCCTCTCGGCCCCATAGTCGCCCGTTCTCAATACCGATTTTGCCGCCATTGTCCCCTACCACCAATATCGCTCTCAGATCTATTTTTTTCAATTATCTCTTTTTTACTACAATTTAACATAGAACATCAGATAGATAAAAAAAAGGGGAGAATCGAAAAACAAAAAATAAAAATGAAAAAAAGGTTTGAATGAGGGGACAACGGTAGGTGATGGATGGTGATAGCCACAAAGGGGTGGCGAGGGGCTTGCGTTGGATGCTAGGGGTTTGAATGGCGTAGGGTTTGACAGCGGTAAAACTTGGTTAGTTTTTTTTTTTTTTTACTTTAAAACACTCGTAACCGATTATAAGTATCTTAATTGAGTTTAAAAAAAATATGAAAGCAACTAATTTCCAAAAATTCAGTGGTTTATTTATTCAAAAAAATATCACGAGATTTAATCATTCAAATTAAAAAAAATTCAAGAATTTAATCATTAAAAAAAGGTTCGTTGAAATTTTTTAGACTTATATTAATTAAGTACTTAAATGTTTAAAATGTTACGATTGAAATAAAAATTAAAAAATACATGATACAACGTCAAAGAACATTGCATTTAATGCAATTTGACCACAAAAATGATACCAAAAGATATCTGAATTTGTCAAAAGTGTCACATAAGTACATTAAATATGATATTATTGTTAAATTAATGTCATTCATATTAAATTAGGTCAAATAAATATCACAAAATAATGTATGAGTTGGAGAACTTGTAGGGAGGTGGATAGTGATGTTGGCACCTTCACAAGGCAAGAGGGACAAGGCAAGGGCCATCTTATTAAAGAGCGGATGCAACACCTTTAAAATATAAGTAAATTTAAGTTACAATTCAAAGATATCGGAGGATAAATAACAGTATACTTATCTAAGCTACAATAAGTTTAGATTAAGGTGGCGTTTGTTTTTTAAGAGGTGCTGAAGTCTGAAGTCTGAATTCACTTCTGATTTTTAAGAGGTGGTGCTGAAGTCTGAAATCTGAATCAGTCATACTGTTTGTTTTTTGCGTCTGAAATCTAAAGTTTGAAGATGAGAGATCGAGAGTTGATATGGATCGACAGTTGACAGAGTTGAGAGATGAGAGATCGAGACAGAAGAGTTGATCCATAGAAATCGAGCGCAAAGAGATCAAAGTACGTAGGCGACGATTTGAAATAAGAGGTAATAAGAGGTTTTGCAACCACTGAAATTTTCAGACCTAATAAGAGCTTTTAAGCTCTTAATTGGAAAAAAACACACTGAATCCTCTTATGTCTGACCGATTCAGACTTAAGAGGACATTAAGAGTTTTTTTATTAAAAACAAACAGCCCCTAAGAGTGGGTGTCAATATCGTCTCCAAAAAACCAAAAATATCGTTGACGTGCTAAAAGCTAATGACCCCAAAAGTGTCTCTACCGGCATCCAAACACAGCGCTCAAGATTTCGAAGCCTCACTGCTAAGAGAACCTGATGTACATATCATTTAAGAAAAAGTGTTAGGCTTAATACTTAGTGAATTTAAACAGTTATAGAATAAAGCTATAAAATGTTTAAAACTGAGAATATAGATTTAATCAAGAGATTTTATATATTCAAATCATCTTTACCCTTGGAAGTGTATAAAATATCATAAGATGACTAGAGAGACCCGATTTATCATTGGTAGTGATGAAACACATAAGTAAACCAAAATCCAATATTATATAAGCGTCACTTATGAATAACCAACCATTAAGTTCAACCATTCCGGGTCTATAGTTTAATAGGTCAACAAAGCTTAACTCTTTGAGTCTTTTACTTGTGGAGTCACCAAGTTCAACCTTAACAGGTCTTTACCTTGAGATCATGACCAACATCCAAATTAAGCTCGTTCAGTTAGAAATTACAGTATCTTAGTCAAAGGTCGATGCCAGACCCCAACATGCCACACCATATTGCCTATGAAAACCCAATGCCTATTTTCAGTTACAGTCAGGGAATATCATCCCAACAAATAAAACCGAATTCTATGCCTATGGATCAAATGCACTACAGTCTAACATAATCACTACTTTAAAGTGACCAACTATAATCATATATATAGTTTTCATCTTTCAAAAGTCCTTGTAAAACCATTTTACACGATATTACCAAATAGGAAAAGCCCCATAAGTCCCAATAATTCATTTGTTGCTCAAATACAATATTACTTCCGTCACCATTTTCCAAAAGTTCAGAAGTCCAAGAATAGTCTTGATTAAGAATACACTTCATGAAATATGAGAACACTTCGTGTTCCAAATGTACCCATTTGCATGAAATAACTCCAAATATGTAAACATTAAGAATACACATAAACCATAATGTTTCAAGTCTTAAAATAACATCTATGCGTTGAAATACACTTTTATAACCTCAACATTGAAGATCCATCATTTTCTAACAAAAGGGTGAAAACCAAATCTCCCATAAATTAGTAAAAGGTATGTAAGTTATATCAAAAAGACATTTTAGGAGACTAAAAAAGCATTTTGACGTGTATAAAGTTAAAGGGTTAGAATGAACTCACAAGTTAGGTTTAAAGAAAACCTAAAAACCTAGCAAAATGATAAGAAGGATGAGTAGATCTTGATCCTCCAACCTAATTCCTTAACCTTGATGATAGACGATAATGAATGCCCCAAAAATCGGACCTAGGGTTTTCCTAAGCGTTTATATATATATATATATATATATATATATATAGTGTGTGTGTGTGAGAGAGAGAGAGAGAGAGAGAGAGAGTAGAATGGAGTAAATGAGGAGAAAGCTAAGAAAAATTCGAGTTTAGATGGCCAGCCGGTGCTAGCCGCTACTTTAGTCACACCTGCAAGGTCAGCCGCGTCCTTCAAGTGGGGCACAAACAATGGATAATGCAGCTCTGCAGCGGCTTTAGCCGCATGGCACCCATGCAACCCATTGTTTCCTTTCCCAAAACCCCCTTTTTTTTTTTTAGTTTCGAAGCACGAACAACACCCCATACGTTAATTTTAAACACTTTGAGAATAAAAATGTAGATGAGCTCCAAACTTACAAATTTAA